TGCCGGGTGTGGCAGGTAAGAGTGCCGGGTGTGGCAGGTAAGAGTGGTGGGTGTGGCAGGTAAGAGTGGTGGGTGTGGCAGCTAGAGTGGCGGGTGTGGCAGCTAGAGTGCCGGGTGTGGCAGCTAGAGTGCAGAGTGTGGCAGCTAGAGTGCCGGGTGTGGCAGCTAGAGTGCAGAGTGTGGCAGCTAGAATGCCGGGTGTGGCAGCTAGAGTGCGAAGTGTGGCAGCTAGAGTGCTGGGTGTGGCAGCTAGAGTGCGGGGTGTGGCTAAGAGTGGTGGGTGAAGAGGCAGTAAGAGTCAGTGGAAAGTCCCCTAAAACAAAGTTGCCATTAGTCTTGCCAACCTGGAGACCTTCGTTTTTATCTCCATGCGCCTTAAAATTGTATCTCATGGTAGCATTTTATATCGTTTTACTGCTACTACTTTTGATACAGAAATGTTGTGCTTCAGTGTAAAATATATGGATTTTTTTATTATATAAATATTACTTAAAATCTTGCTTGCGTCTACTTCAGTGTAGCCCAGTTGGGTGTGTCAGGAGGTTAGGCCATTTGCGTGAGTCAGGGGAATAGCCCAGTTTGGTGTGTCAGGTTAGGCCATTTGCGTGTGAGTCTGGGGAATAGCCCAGTTGGGTGTGTCAGGTTAGGCCATTTGCGTGTGAGTCAGGGGAATACCCCAGTTGGATGTGTCAGGTTAGGCCATTTGCGTGTGAGTCTGGGGAATACCCCAGTTGGGTGTGAGTCAGAGGAGGGTCACTCAGCACATCTAAATTATGACAGAAAATGAAAGTTGGAAATACAGCAGCACAATTGGCTAGAATGGTGCCAAACCTTCGACAATCGCCCATCACTGGGGGAACTATTGAGTGCACTCTGATACGCAATGAACTAAATCAAATAGCCTGCACCCGAAAGCAGACTGACAGAGCTACAACACTACTGGAACATCAGTCCCATGAACAACTTCTAGAGCACATCAGAGTTAGACGAGCACATCTACTAATACTATTCATACACATAAAATATATAAAGCCTATTGTATTATGCAGGATTCTGGCGGAAAATACAGCTCGCTATCCAGATAGCAAAAAATCAACACGCCTCCTCCCCTCATCTATCTATCCCCTCACTGTCTATCCTTCATACTCCTTATACGTCACGTTTTCCTTGTCCTCTCCTTATACGTCACCTATCCCACATCCCCCCCTTTATATACGTGGCCTGTACCTCACCTCCACCACATACGTCTTATCTTGAGATTATTTCGGGGCTTAGCGTCCCCGCGGCCCGGTCCACGACCAGGCCTCCTTTTTGTTCCCCCCCCCCCCCCAGGAAGCAGCCCGTAGCAGCTGTCTAACTCCCAGGTACCTATTTACTGCCCAGATGAACAGGGGGACTTCAGGGTGAAAGAAACTGCATATTTGTTATTTCCTCCACCGGGGATCGAACCCGGAACCTTAGGACGACGAATCCCGAGCGCTGTCCACTCAGCTGTCAGGCTCCTACATGCCTCCTACTCTTCACCTCCCATTTGATCCTGTGGTTCCCCAGCTGGCATCCTATTACTTGTTTTTCCTTATAACTACCTGCACTAGAGATCCTCTTATTCCCTTGTACCCTTCTCTTTTGAGACCTGCCATTCACTACTGTGCGTTCGTATGCGATAGTTTGTGCCCGATTGCTGCCTAGTACTATTTCCTTTATCTTACCACCTCGACTAAATAAAACTGCGTATTAAGGTTCGCCCGTTAAAGCGCATCTTTGTCAATAAAGTTTCCCATAAATGTATGTAGCTAACCATTTACCCTTGTGTGTGCGTGTGCATATACGTTCATGTCTTGTTAGCGTGCATGTCGCCTGCTGGAATTATATAGCCTAACACACAGGCTCTTCGAGGGTTATACTGTCGAAGATAATTGTGCAAATTATTAACTAGAAGACACTGCATAACTTGGAGAAATGAAGCTCGTGATGTTTTCGTCAAGTCTGATTGTTTGGGTTAATTAATATTTTTTGAAAGCCTGTAGTCGAGCCAAAATTTAAAAAAAAAATCGTTGATATAAATAACCATTTTGACGCATTGCCTGGCAGTGTGCTGGCGTGAACCAGGCGGCCAGGCCAGATACTTCCTTGCGGCGGAGTTCATAGAACCTTCCACACTGCGTCACGTTACTCTGCGTCACAAACCTGATGCGTGAATTATTATGTTAGTAGTTTGTTTAATGCGACGGAATATATCTGTATATGGTATCAAACGGCGAGGTAATGCGAAATTTGCGAGGCAATAAGATAGGCATTTTTTCAGCTAGCATCACCCATTAGTCTTTGCTGCGGGTGTGTCAGTGTACGTGCGTCTCCAGCTGTGGTAATGTGCCATTAACTGCACATGGGGGGTTCCTGCGACGTTGTTAACGTCACGTGGCGTGCAATCCTGCCTGCCGGCCGCGCTAGAGGGAGCCTCACCGGGGGTGCGAGTGACGCCCCTGGTCTGGGCCCCAGTATTTCGTCACGTTTTGTCAACAGGATAAGAGTTGGCAGCTGATACCGTCACCGTGAGCCACCACCGCACATGACACCCTCACCATAAACCACTTATCACTATCAGCACCCTCGGTATTGTCATCACCATCGCCACCCTGTGTATTACCAATTTCCGCCAGCGCCATATTAACGAGAAAACCACAATCGCCTTAACAGCACTGCTCCACATTCCAAACACCAGCCACGCGTGTGGTTGGCGTCGATGCCAATACCACCTCCATAACCTCATTGAACGAAATTCATTTTCTTCGAGGGTATATTTTCTTGGTCTCTTTCTCCTCTATCTGTCTTTTCCTATTTTGACCGCTTAATCAGTGGAAGCATATGTAGAGGGCGCTGGCTATAATGATACGAGGTTCTCCATTGTCTATTTCAGGTATCCACGGGTTGGGTAGCATTATATTTCTCTGGTGCTTTTACTGCGCCGAGCGCTAGAATGCTGACCCCACCTGGCATATGCAAGGTCCGTTACCCATTAGTCCTTGATGCACATACAACATGGTCCAACTGCCGTTTCCAATATGGCGCATTAAGGTGAGGATGGGTTGGTCTCGCGGCGTGTACAAGGTCAGCTGTGTCTTGCCTCACGCGTCTGGCAGTCACGTGGCCTCCGTCCTCGAAGCTTCCTTTGCTTGCCTGCCTTGTGTTCTTTTCTATCTCGCTGGATAGTCCCGGTAACGACATATTTTGCTAGGTTTATTTATATATTTATTCCGCCACTTTCCGTTCAATATCTCTAGCTTGGCCCGTAAATGTGGCCAAGGTCCCGTATATTACATCTATATATTAAGAATATTGATAATGTTTTTTGAGATTTCTGGCACAGGGACCGACTAAAATACAAATAATATGTAGATAAATGTTTATTCAGGAATTACAATTATTATTATATATATATAATCGCGTTTCTAAATATAAATACATGGTATCATATAGCTGGTTTCCCCGAAGGTTTCTAGATAGCCATTAATATTTGAGAACTATGTGAAGTGGTCAGAATAATTTGTGCAACGTGCATATGTTAAGAATTAAATGCGCTAATTTGGTGAAGTTGTGTATGCTGAAACAGTGTTGTTTGTTATGGTGGTGGCACGCGCACCCGTTTATACTACAGACTTGAGTGGTGTAGATGTCAGCATGCTGAGCACTCGGCATGGGACTGGTTTGTTCTTAATGTTGATTTTGTATAATTGTTGCATAACTCCCCACTTCTTCCTTTTCCTTTTACCCCTCTCTTTTTTCCACCCTCTTTCCTTCACTATACTGCCGTCTCTCCCTTTTCCACCCTCTTTCCTTCACTATACTGCCGTCTCTTCCTTTTCCTCCCTCTTTCCTTCACTATAGTGCCGTCTCTCTCTTTCCCTCCCTTTTCACAAAGGAGTAAGTATTTCCAGCACCAAATTGTAGGTTAATTGTGAGAAAAAGTTATGGAGAAAAATCGACGTATAATAATGCCACGTGCAATGTCATGCAAGGTTTGTGAGGTTGCATGTGGCGGCTGCGAGCGTCATGCAAGCGTGGATGTTGTGAATGACTCACACTGCCAGGGACCAACGCCCCGTCGGCGCTGCCCGTCACGATGGCTCTCGCAGCGTTCAGCGAGCGACGTCACCTTCGTTCAGGGACGGTGTCTCGCTGGAATAGTTAAACAGGCTCCTACCGGCTTCCGGGAGACGTGCACAAGAAAACAGTGGCGGAGCTGTGACTTAAGAGGGACAGAGTGGTAGTCATGACGATGGGAATTCCTGGAACTTGCTGCTCCACGTCTGGCGATTTGGTGACTTTCCGCAGTCACGGCTTCACTGGAGATTGGGAAAGAGGGAGGGGGGGGCACACAATTGGTAATAGCCAGGTGTGTTTTAGTGTGATGGAAGTGTTGGTTAGGGAGCGTCTCTTGGGGGAGGGGGGAGAGGAGAGGGCACAGGAAGTAGTGGTGGTGGAGGATGGTGGTGGAGGTGCAGGGTCGGTGATAAGGCGGCGGGCCCGAGTGAGGGTGGTCAGTACAACGCTGGAGGGGGAGCAAGGCGCTGCTCCCACCTCTGCCTCCTCTACTACCTCCATTATCACCCTCGCTACCAACACAGCTGTCACTGTGGCTTCAACAGCGGCACAAGTAGCGCAGGCACAGCACGGGCGCGCGGTCCTTCCCACTGGATTGAGCGGTGAGAGATTCAGTCGTGTGGTGGAGGTGGAGACAGCAGGCGGGGGGCACAGCGAGGGGGCGCGCCGGGCCTCACTCCCTCACCACATCTCACCACAGCCGCAGCTGCCTGCCTCTCCACACAGCAGATGACGAGGCGTGTAGACAGATGGCTCGCCACTCGCTCCCACGTCATTTAAAACTACCAGCTGACAGTGTGGAGGCCGTGGCGGCGGGGCCTCGCCGGGTGGAGCTCGCCACAGCTGATCCCGCACCGCCAGCTGTTGGCCATGCCGCGCCCAGCCCACTGCGCCTGCTCGTGCCCACCCCACACTTCTGGAAAGTGATAGTGCCATTATTCAGGTGACGTGTGCAGTGTCGTGCGCAGCTGTGTTGAAAAAAACAGTGTGCAGCCGTACAGTGCATAAGAGGCAGGGCCAGACAACTGTGCGCCGGAGACCGACGCCCCCCGGAGTGAGAGTCGGGTCGGGCTCACCACGTGTGTTACCCGCACTGTGCAGTTTCCAGAGCCGGATCGGGCCGCCCTTGTCTCCCCGCCCACACCGTATGCCGCCCCCACCCACTACGTGTACACAACCTTATGAGGGCGGTCGCTACATAGGCTTTAGTGTGTGCTGAGGCGTGGTGATGGGCTAGTGTTGTGGCCTGGCCGGCCCCACCCGCCCGGATACTCCCGCACACATTGCGCAACCCGGGTGTCCCCCACCGACGTCAGGGCCTCGTGTCCCCCCAACCTCTCCTCTCCCCCCCCCCCCCACGTGACGCCCACACTCCCCGGGTGTCCCAGCTTGGTGAGGGTGGGAAGACCAGCTGGCCCTGGCCGCACCACCCCACCTGACACTGTCTGCCGGCCTGGTATATGACCTGTCTGTCCTCGCACCAGCCAATGTCACCCACTGATGTCTACCTACACTGTCCCTCTGCCCCTCCACGACCCCACCTCCACTCACTGGCTGTCTCCACCACAGCCTTACCACCAGACCCACTCGCCAGCTGGCCGCACCAGCTACCAACGTGACCACGTAAGTCATTCTTGTATTTTGTATATACAGTATACATTTCCTTTAGTGAGTGTAGCAATTTTTTTACGGTTTTAAGAATTGGTGACCAACTCAACAAGGACTTCATCTTGTGTTTGTATATATATATATATATATATATATATATATATATATATATATATATATATATATATATATATATATATATATAATACACAGTATATAATCGCCCCAAAGCGTTTATATCAAACGTTCAATTATTAAGATCTCCCCTTTCTTAAACAACACAAGGATGATTTTCTGGTGGTTTCGCCTCGTCTCAAGTTAAAGATTTCCTTAATATTTTTTATATTTGTGGTTGAAGCAATTGTTTGGAAGAGGACTGTCGAGTTAAATATTTTTTGATCAAGATGACCAAGCACTTCAGTAATAAAATACATACATCATTTCCTCATAGTGTTGCTCTGTTAAGGCAAACATTAAAGTGTAAATGCTGCAAGATTTAATATAAGTGACGACACTGTTACGTCACTAAAGACGACCATCTTGTGTTACAGCTCCTGGTCTCTTGAACTGCCAAAAAGTATTTTCCGTGTCGATGTGCTATTCATTCCCCTCATGACTCCTGTATACCGGCATTTGGGAATTATTCGTGTGACTGTATTATTGATTTACTTGTACTGTGAGAGATGTGGCACCACCGCATCACGTGACGCTCGCATGAACCCTCCCGGATTTTTCTTTTTATTAGTGAATTTTCAGCGCTCTTTGAACCATATTTTCACATTGTCAATTAATTTTCTTGGTGGTGCACATGAGTACGTTGTATTCATGTCTTGTCTTCCTCTCTATAGGTGCTCATCTTCTTTGTTACGTAGGTATAGTATATTACATGTAGGCCTATGTTCTGTATATCTTCCTTAGTACCTAGTATAGCATCTTTCTCGTTGTGTAAGAAACATTGTCGATGGGGTCAACATTTCACTCTTATTTTCTGTAACTGACTCACTTGGACTAAAGATTTTTCCCTTAGCTATGAAAATATGTTCCATACAAAATTAATTTTACAGGCATCGATTTTTATGGTGAAATACTGTGTATATCATTAGCAACACATCTGGAAGAACGTGGAGTTGAAAACTTTTTTTAGCAGGTGTTAGCCACCAGTTTTAACAGGTGTGAGCTGGGCACAAAGTTTCCTACTGCTTGGTACAAGTGTTCGCGTGGGTACATGTGACTGGCTCTTCTCCAAGTTGCAATGGTTGATTATAGCTTCCTGTGGAGAAGTTTGTTTGTGGTTCAACCCGACTCTTGTGTGTAGATAGCGGTTGAGTTTGTTGACCTAGGTTGGGTCTTTACAGTTGTATCAATCTTGTCTGAAATTTACAATTATCCCAGCAAGCCAATGATTGTAAACATTAAGGTTCCGTTATATTTAATTCCTGACTTGTATGTGCAATATTTGTTAGAAAAAAAATTGATAATGATTCATTGTAGAATATTAAGAACAGTTAATTCTGTCATTAGGCATGTTACGGTATGTTTAAAAGTTGGTACAGTCTGTATGCCGATTTGCTATGAAGTTGTCGACATGGATGATACAGGAAGCATTAGTTCGTCAGCCGTCGTCATCCTTGCTGCCAAGAGCGTGTCGATTATCCGTCCCATGTTCATTGTACTTCATCAGGTGCTCGGCGACCACGATCCCGGCATCTGTTGGAGTACAGTAGATAAGTGGATGCAATGCTGCCAGATTTTTCAAGTCATCGCTCGCAAGTCAGCACTTCAGGAGAACGGCCTTCAAGACAACGCCTCAAGACAACAGCTCTTGGGTTCATTCCAAATTTGGGAAGGCAAAACATGTCCTATAAATTTAATGAAATTTGATATTTAAGCGAATAAAAAATATTTTTATTTAGGAATAGTATTTTGTTTTTATGTACTGCTGTGTAAATATGTTTGTAAGTTGGTATCATAGTGAAAAATTTGATTGAGATTTATAAGGCAAATTCTTCGTCACTGGAGGCTAGAAAATTGTCATAATTTAGCTGATAAAAATATTGACCCAAGTTACCATTTTGTCTTGTTCTGCTGGTTAATTTTTCTTGTTCAGCTAGGCCTTCTCATAATGCAAACTTTTAATGCATTTTCTAACTATTGTAAAATGAAATTTTATAAATAATGTTCCTATGAACCAAACAAGGGTTTAGGGTTTTTATTATATAGACGTTAAATAATCAGCACATGCATAGATTAAATACTAAGCACCACGTGCAACCTGGAGAGGGTTGGGTTCTAGGAGTGCTTCTACTCCTCACACCCGGCCTCTACTTGTGATAACTTGGTCCAACAGGCTGTTGCTTGGAGAGGCCCGCAGGACCACATATCCACTACAGCCTGGTTGGTTTGGCTCTCTTGCAAGAACTTATTTAAGTGCCTCTTGAATACATCTACCTTTGTTCCAGAAACATTTCTAATGTTTGCTGGGAGGGTGTTGAACAGCTGTGGATCTCTGATATTCAGACAGTGCTCTCTTGATTGTGTCTATGGCACCTCCAGTCATCACTGGTTCTATTCTGCATTTTCTTCCGTATCTTTCGTTCCAGCATGTTCATACGGTGCAAATTTGGGACCTGGCTTTTAAGTATCTTCCATGTATATATTATTTGATACCGTTCTCGTCTCCTTTCCAAAGAGTACATTTTGAGAGCTTTGAGACGGTCCCAATTATTTAGATGTTTTATCGTGTCTATGCGTGCCGTACATGTTCTCTGTATTACATCTAATTCAGAGATCTCTTCCGCGCTGAAAGGGGAATGTATGCAGCACATTCATATAGACTAAATATTAAGCAGCACATGCATATAGGCTAGACATTAAGTAGCACATGCATATAGGCTAAATATTAAGCAGCACATGCATATAGGCTAAATATTAAGCAGCACATGCATATAGGCTAAATATTAAGCAGCACATGCATATAGGCTAGACATTAAGTAACACATGCATATATGCTAAATATTAAGCACTACATGCACATAGGCTAGACATAAGTAACACATGCATATAGGCTAAATATTAAGCACTACATGCATATAGGCTAGACATAAGTAACACATGCATATAGGCTAAATATTTAGCACTACATGCATATAGGCTAGACGTAAGTAGCACATGCATATAGGCTAAATAAGCAGCACTTGCATATAAACTAAATAAGCAGCACATGCATACTGTATAGGCTAAACATTAAGCAGCACATACATATAGGCTAAATATTTAGCAGCACATGTATATAGGCTAAATAAGCAGCGACTAAATATTGAGCAGCGCATGCATGTAGACTAAATATTGGGCATCACACGCATGTAGACCCTTGTAATATTACACGGCCCTTGTAATATTGGGCAGCACACACATGTAGACTAAATATTAATTAAGCAGCACATGCATATAGGCTAAATATTAAGCAGCACATGCATATAGGCTAAATATTAAGCAGCACATGCATATAGGCTAAATATTAAGCAGCACATGCATATAGGCTAAATATTAAGCAGCACATGCATATAGGCTAAATATTAAGCAGCACATGCATATGGACTAAATATTAAGCAGCACATGCATATGGACTAAATATTAAGCAACACACGCATATAGGCTAGACATTAAGTAGCACATGCATATAGGCTAAATATTAAGCAGCACATGCATATAGGCTAAATATTAAGCAGCACTTGCATATAGGCTAAATATTAAGCAGCACATGCATATAGGCTAAATATTAAGCAGCACATGCATATATAAATAAGATTGGAATTAGCATGTTTTGCCAATTAAAACTGTTCTCTTTAAAATAAACTGTGGTTGAGGGCGGCTAACCTTGGAGACAGCAACACTAATACATCATTGAAACGCCATAATAATAACAATAATATATAGTATAATGAAATAATTATATATATAAATCTATAATCATAAATAAGATTTTAATAAAATAGGCAATACAAAAATAAAAAAAAATTTAAAAATGTTAAAATATTTATATAAAAAAATTTAAATTAAATAATTTAAAAATAAATAAAATAAAAATATTTAGTTTTCAAATAATTTAGTCTTACATTTCATCAATTACAAAAAGTGTTTGCTTGAAATGATAAATGGAAGTAAAAATATATTGTTAGATTTGGTAAATAAAATCATCAGAAAGGATTTAGAACAAATTTTTTGTAATTTTTCAGAACATTTTTAAACATAAACTACATACAACACCTTTTGCATTTGCTAAATTACAACATGTCAAAATATGGGCGAATGTTCACCCTTTTCATAAACTTTCAATAATTTTTGTATTATATTTTTGCAACAGGTTAGAGCAACATAAAAGCATAAAATAATTAAAAACAAAATACAAGGTAACATTGATAATTACTGAGATGTGAAAGTAACTTTGGAAAACATCAGTCTTTTTAAAATTATTTAAATCATATCTGATGCTTGGTGGGTGTGGAGCACATGACTGTAAAGCTGCCGCCCAGTTGGGTGGGTGTGGAGCACATGACTGTAAAGCTGCCGCCCAGTTGGGTGGGTGTGGAGCACATGACTGTAAAGCTGCCGCCCAGTTGGGTGGGTGTGGAGCACGGCTAGTAACTGTGTGACTCACCACAGATATAAAGTGCCTTGTATAGTGACTGTTGTGAGCCTCTTGTTGAATCACTTGTGATCTAAAAAGATTAGCAAGGTGTATACAATATGTACACACAGAAATCACAATAGCGTGTTACATCAAATTAACAAATCCACAGTAGAGCAGTAGCAGTCCCGGTTGCAATTCTTTTTTTACCATGTTGTGGAGCAATCGACTAAGGCACGTCTGGGATCATCCCGGAAGTAGGTTCGAACCCTCATCACGGCCCTTGTGTATGTGTTCATTTGATGTATGTATATGTATTTGTGTAAATGATTGTATATATATGTACATGTATGTATAACATTAACAATTATGTAACTAGTTTCAAAAG